GTTCAGCTAACATCCACTCTGAGTTAAGCTAACAGCGACTCTGAGTTCAGCTAACAACAACACCGAGTGAAGCTAACAGCTTCTTTGCTCAAGACCAAACAAGTGAATTACTATCTACATGTCAAACTCAAAACTTTCCTAAAAATTTGAATGTTTTTCACTTTGTCACTGTCATCAGAAACAAAACTACTGTTTATCAAAATGCTAATAGCATCTCCAAAGAGCGTAATTAGCAACTATGTGAGCTTTACAGTCAGATGTCTTGGGTAAAATTGAGAAGGTGTAAAATTTGCTGAAGCCTTAGGGTTGAGGATTCAAACTAGCACCTCTTTTTTTTATTTTAAAATCTAGGACAGTCTATTTGTCAGTAAATTATAACCGTCTGCGATGTATGTGTTTTTAGGAAATCCCTCGAAGTACGCTGGACTCATTTATGCAACCGTTCCAAAGCACATTGTGGCTGTTGGTGGGTCTTTCGGTGCATGTGGTGGCGGTGATGCTTTACCTTCTAGACCGGTTCAGGTACAAGGAGGACCCGTTTGTCCATATATGTGTTTAGATTTGTATTCACAGTGTGTGTGTGTGTGTACATACACTCCTGAGCACTGCAGATCTTCCCTCATTGTGGACAACGTGGCAGACCGAGGTGAAGATTGGCTCCGATCATCCCACTGCTCTGTCCCTGTGCTGTCGTCTTTAGCCTGTTTCCTTTTGTCAGGAGTTTGTCTTTGTCTTGCTTCGCTCACTCATGTTCAGTTTCCCTCTTTGACCCGGGTTTCATCCCTTTGTGGGTTCTGAGTTAATTTTATCTTTGCAACCCTTCCATTTTCTTCTCTTTAGTCCATTTGGGAGATTTAAAGTAAACAGTGAAGAGGAAGAAGAAGATGCCCTCACCTTGTCGTCTGCTATGTGGTTCTCCTGGGGGGTGTTGCTGAACTCTGGAATAGGAGAAGGTGAGACAAAGTATCCCACGCCTCTAGAAAAAACTAAATATGCCTGTCTGGCAGTGTTCCTGTTGGGATAGCAGCATTGATTCCTTACTTTTTCAAATCGTAATTTTTACAGACAGGCTTTTGTAAAGTTTGCATTTTAAAACCTAGTTGTTGCTTTTGCTTGAGAGAGATAAATAGGATAGTTGTATGTGGACAGAAATAACTTTTTTATATAGTTTGTGCCATCATGATGTCCTAGTTTCATTAGCTCATTAACAATGTTTGATTACTTCAACCAAATAAACTTGGGTCATAGGTCTTTTGATGTTGGTTGTTGTGAGTTATACTTTAAAAAGCTTGAGAGCCAGATGGCTCATTTAATGGTTATTCTGAGCATAGCGACTTTGTGTCTCTTTACCTAAAGGCGACAGTTAATGGTGCATTGAATTCTTGAAGAGGTGTTTTGCTTCATAGAAGAATATTTGACCCACTAACTATGGTGACTTCAAATTAATGGCAGAGAGGTAACGGTAACGCAAGCAGTGGGGTTTTGTCTAATTAAAAACATCAACCCACAGTTGAACTGGTCATTTGTTTAGCTGAAAACTCAACTTGAACTTACTACATAGGTGCACCACGCAGCTTCTCAGCGAGAATCCTGGGCATGGTGTGGGCTGGTTTTGCTATGATCATTGTGGCTTCCTATACTGCCAACCTGGCTGCCTTCTTGGTGTTGGACCGGCCTGAGGAGCGCATCACCGGCATCAACGACCCAAGGGTGGGTGATGCAACAGCCAAGCATATTGCTACATCCTACCTACAAAACTTTTGTTTAGCTGTCTGCTCGTTATCCTTTTTTACCTGCAGTTGAGAAACCCATCTGACAAATTCATCTACGCCACGGTAAAGCAAAGCTCCGTGGACATCTACTTCCGGCGACAGGTGGAGCTTAGTACTATGTATCGCCACATGGAGAAGCACAACTATGAGAGTGCCGCCGAGGCTATCCAGGCCGTGCGTGACAAGTGAGTCTCGGCCAGGCCTGGCCGACCGGAACACGAGTCGGCTGGCTGCTAGACGTAGACTAGGACCAATTCAGATTGTTGGGAGGTGGGGTGGGGACATGGACGTTTGAACCAGGTGGAAGTGGCAGGACTTACTGCAATGTTCACTCTGATTCAGGTCCATTGCCCGATCAAGACAGTTTTCCAGGGTTAGCAGCAGATGTGGATGTGTCAGCAAGCACTGACACGAGTGGAGGTTGAGCTAACGCTGAGTCTAGGAGCACCCTTTTTCAGGTTTTACCCAGATGAACATCTCTGAAATTTGTGGAATCCAGTGGGGGACGCACGCTCACCCATCTGGCACTGGATTTCATTTGGGGCCATAGAGACTGCTGGTAAACGCTGAAATGACACGCATGATTTGGTGTGCGAGAAAGAGAAGGTTGGAAGCCGTAAATGTGTTTGTAAATCATTGTACTGTTGCATCGTAACCCCCTCCTTCCCCTCCCTCCCTCCCCCACAGCAAGCTGCATGCTTTCATCTGGGACTCTGCGGTGCTGGAGTTTGAAGCCTCGCAGAAGTGCGACCTGGTGACCACGGGAGAGCTGTTTTTCCGTTCGGGCTTTGGCATAGGCATGCGCAAGGACAGCCCCTGGAAACAGAATGTGTCCCTGGCCATTCTCAGGTCTGTCCCAGCGGAGGCTGCATTTCTCGTATGACTTCTTTTTTTGTTGTTTTGTTTTTCATTATGATTTTATGGTCTTCTGACCATTTACAGACGTCTAAAGACATTGGCTTATGTCGCATCTCTATATGTGTCTCCCCTTCCAGCCATGTTTGTCTGTCATGTTTACGTCTGTTGGTCTACCTGTTCCTCCTTCATTTGTGTTGCTATCTGGGAGTAGGCGGCTCAAATGTTCTGAAGGGCACATATGTAACTTTGTCACCTCTCTCTCCATCACCCCCAACCCCTTGCAGTTCTCATGAGAATGGCTTCATGGAAGACCTAGATAAAACCTGGGTGAGATACCAGGAGTGTGACTCACGGAGCAATGCCCCAGCCACACTCACCTTTGAAAACATGGCAGGTATGGTCCTTATGGCATAGGGAATAAAAGCGTTAAAAGTGATTGGACAAAAACTGCAGTGGTAAGGTACTGTAGCTCTTTTTTGTCCAATACCTTTGCAGAATCGTTGTTTCAGTGTCAACATTGGTTCTCTGTGGAAATATGACCTAGACTATCATGTGCTGTGATTTTGTGCAGTCGTGTTTTTTAAATTTTATTATTGATATAATGTTTACAGCCACTGTCAGCAGTAGGAGCTGGTTAAGAAAACAGATGCGACCACTGAGCATAACGAACGGTCCTGCTTGGTGGGAGCGGCGCGATTCTAGATTGGCTGCCCACATCTCTGTCTTTTCCTCTCCTTGTCCCGTCTGTCCCTCCCCAACAGGGGTCTTCATGCTGGTGGCTGGTGGCATCGCAGCAGGAATCTTCCTCATCTTTATCGAAATCGCTTATAAGCGCCATAAAGACGCCCGCAGGAAGCAGATGCAGCTGGCCTTTGCGGCCGTCAACGTTTGGAGGAAGAACTTGCAGGTAGGAACGATACTCTTTGCCTGGTCACATCTGGGGTGCAGGGGCAAAAACGGGGGGTGCAAGGGAGCAAGCAAAGCCTCTATTGAGATGATCGTCTACCTCCCATTGTTTCTGGGAACGTTCGCTTTTCAGTAATACAGGAGGGACGGAGGTTTCTGAGGCCAAGGCATCTTGAGTGGCCATTTTGAGGGTCTTAACATTTTCCAGAGGCCAACTGCATCCATATCTCTTGTTTGTGTGCCTGCAGGAAAGTAAGGAGGCCTCTGGAAGCCAAGCGGTGACTAGAATCTTCTCTTTAGTGTGTGGCAGAGCCATTTTCACCCCAATGTCACCGCTTGCTGTTAGAAACTAAATAAAAATAAGTCCCCCTCTCTTATGATGGATATTGATTTTCACCACTGTTGCCCATAGCATGATGAAGTAGTTATAGCTGCTGTACTGGTAGATGCTTCATAAGGTCATATGATGCCACCAAGATAACCAAACGTCTAGTGGGAATCCTTTCAAAAACAGCAGCAGCAATGATTACAGCAGAGTTGACACATTAATCATGTCATCATTGACCTTTTATTTGCTTTTGCAGCCATGCAACTGCCAAATAGAGCATAAAGAGTAAAATCAATGCCTTGGCACAGTCGTACACTTGTGATCCTCCCACTGTCTTTCAGGATACCGTAACTTTAAAGTGCAACAAATTGCACAGGATGGCGCTTGAAGCACAGACTCGTAAGATGTTAAAGTTGCATGTTAGTAGCAACTGGAGCACCACCTTTCTTTCGTTCACTCAAATAAAAAAAAATTTTAAAAAAAAAGCAGATTTCTAAAATGGATTCAATTAGAGTTTGACTTTGTTGTGAAAGTTCACGCTTAACAGGATTAGTTTGGCGTTCATTTTCCACAAATTAAACAAAAAAATGTTAATTTATTTTTATGCTTCAGATGAAACTTCTTAGTTGGGTGAAAAGGTTTGACCTAGTTGTTGTCGTAGATGAGACATCCGTTTTAGGCCATAAGTTGACCAGTTAGGACCCGACTGAACTTCTGCTTTATGATGTCGTGACTCGTGAGTATATGGCAAAAACAACTTGTAAGAAGACGCAGAGCCTGGTTGGTTTTAACAACTTTAGTTTGCACCAGGCAGTGAGTTTGGTTTTCAAACATTAGTTGTTTGATACTATTTATTATTATTAACCTTTATTTAACCAGACAAATCCCACTGAGATCACAGACCTCTTTTGCAAGGGAGGCCTGAAGGCAGCCTAACATGCATGTTAGTCTAATAGCAGTTAATAAATAATATATGTAAATTTAATAATTAAACTAATAGCAGTTAGCGCCAGCTAGCTAGCAGCAAACCAAGTTGGAGCTGTCTTATCCAGACTGCAAGTATTGATTTTTAATTCAACTTTTTAGTAGCTCTAATTTAACAAATTAGTCATTTTAACCATATTTTTCAGTCAAAAACTTGACCCAATATCAGTGTTACCAGATCTAAAGAAAAAATGTAAAATAAAAGTTTCCTCTAAAATAATTTTGCATCAAATGCTGAATTAATAATTGATGTGGAAAATTAAATGACCTCTCTGGGGGTCTTAGCTCTTTTGTGCAGCACTGCCCAGTACTGATAACCCAACAGTCCAACTCAGCAGGGTTGGGTTTGGGTTGGTTTTAACCCTGCGTGTTTCATTGCACTCTGCCAGAGCTTTAGTTAGTTTCTTACACCTTTAAGCTTCCCTTCTATTTTGTTCCCACATATACTGCATTGTATCACGACCCAGTTTCACGTAAACCTGCTCTAATTCACATATTATTACATTTTGGTGTTAGAAAGCAAAAAATATATAAAAAATATCAGATATTTTACTAAAATTTGCCCCTGTAGGACTGAGTTTTTTAAATATTGTGGTTTCCAACACACTGCAAGGGTTAGAAAAATCCTCATTTTAATTTTGGTGCAGCATCAACCTTCAGAATATACGCTTGTGTCAGTTGAGGAGAACGTCCGTGCTTTTATTTTGGCTCTACTTGGAAGAAAGCTGAAAATCTTATATTTAAATCTGCTTAAGTCTAAACTCTTTTAAACCCTGAAATTTGAATTGCGGTTAAGAGTCTTTCATATTATTATACCTCTTGAAGTAAATTTGATGTTTTTTTATTTATTTGAGTGAACAGATTTCAGCAATAATCGAGCATTAGTGAGAACGTTCTCTGCTCAGCCAATCAGGGACCATTTGCCCCAGTACTCCAACGCAATCAGTGCAATCAGCTCCTTTTCCCAACGCGTTACCCAAACCCTGATTGCATTGCTTGGAGGGACAGGTTTTCCTCAGATCACATTGCGATGTGGCCCTGGCAGTTGGTTCTGCTGCTTTAAACGAGGCAGCAGGGCCGCCGAAAGGTACAGTATAAAAATCACAAGTGCCTGTCAGCAAACCAGTGTCCTTCTTATGCCGTCTACCATCACACTGACGACTAACTGTTGTGAGCGTCCTCATATGGATGTACGATGCTCAGACACATGCGGCAGACGAACGCATGCAGGGTGGCATCGCTGAGGAAGGAGAGAGACGCACCAAACTGCCTGCAGAACATTGGTATTTAGAGCCGCGTTAGCGATGATCGTGTTCTCCGCCTGGGCGAACAAAGATGGCTCGTGTTGCTCGCTGACCGTCACCGCAGAGCAAAAGCAAAACAGACACACATTAATCGCAACGACATCCCGCGGAAGAAGCGCCGAGGGAACCCAGAGTCCAGCTAATTCAATTAGTCCCGCATGAATGTTATTCCGAAATCTGTCTGAGCGCACCGATTACTCCTCCATGATCTAATTTCCATCAAGTGAAAATGACAACTTGGTTATGTAGGCCACAAATTCATTACTGAGATCACAGTCTGCGTGCGCTCCTCCTTCCTTAGTCCTGCAATCAAACCTGCAGTGTCAGTGCTGGCATTGCGTTGACTGCTTGTATGTTTGTTGTGCGTAATTATGTGCTCATACTGCATTATTGTAGACTCAGCACTGGAGGACTGCCTTCAAACACGAATGTAACTTCAGAGAACGTGCACGCCTGACTAATCTGTGCAAAACGCTGAATAATACCAAACCCTCTCAAACTACGAGTTCATTGACAAACCACCGGCTGCTGCTTTCAGATCCTTTAAAAAGGCTTGAAAGTGATCAGGTAACGCACTAAGATGCTCTTTAAGCAGCTAAAATATTTGGTTTTAGTGCCGAAACGATGTAAATCTTTAGTACGTAGCTGTGGCTTTAATTTCATTACTATTAAGATGTAAACTTCTTAATTTATGTTTAATAAATGCAAACAAACACAGTTGACGCTGATAGGAAATGGTTAATAAAATAACAAATCTTGCTCGATCTGTTAGTTCTCAAGGTATGACTTGGGCGTGACTCTCAGCTACTACCACGTTCAGTTTTAGCTAAGTACCTCCAAAACTGATGAAGCTGTAGCTTTTTTTTGTGTTAGCTTTGGTCGGTCAGCTGCAGTGGCCATTTTGAATCAGCTTGACGCTAATTGTTAATCATTTCTAGATGTTGATTCAGTGATTACTTTTAAAATGCATCCAGATGTTTATGAGAAATTTTGCTAACAAATTGTGGATGAGGGGTAGAGTTGCATTCGGGCCCAAAAAATCCGACCCGACTCGTCCCCAGCCCGTAGCCATCATTTCCGAGCTGCTTATATAGTTGTTGATGGTTGGCGGACGTGCGCGGCTGAGGGGGTGTTTGTCCTTTCGTGGCAGTCAAAGCTCATTAAATCCCTGCTTCTGTCTGCATTCTGCATTATTCAGACATGGACCATGCTCTGACATGTCGGATAGTTTGTGATCTCGCCTGTTTGGGTCGTCGGCCGCGCGCGTCCGCTGAGTGCAGCGGCTGAATGAACATCCATTTCGTATCAATTGGCTTCATCCATGCTGGTCGCTTATTTCTGTCCCATCCGAAGCTTAACTGAACTTTTTTTTACCTCTTTCAAGTCCAGTCCGCGCGCGGTCATATGGCGGTGGCATAGGCAAGGCATGTTTCCATAGACATGGATCGTCAGCCGCGCTTTCGCTGACGCGATCAACAGCCTGACACCAGCTCGGCCCACACATTAAGCACATTATTATGGTCCAACCCGGGTTCGTGTTAGAAATTACACCTGTAATGTGTGTGGGGGGAGGTTAAACAAATTTATACAAGGTACATCTGCCACTCTTTGTGGTGCCCCTGAACTTTTCACTTTTATATCATCTTACATTTTTCTTCAGAAACAATAATTTTCATATGGAAGTTACAAACAGCAGAAAACAAACTACCTCCATCAATGACCTCAGCTGTTCTCTTTTATCTAATCTCCATAAGAAAGCCACCATCTGATGCAGGTAACGTAATGACGCACATAACTGCTCCACTACATTAAAAAGGCAGATCCACACCTTTAAATGAACAGAAATGTTCTGAAAACACAAAGTTTGTCTAAAATTATTCATCAGTGTGTTGTATTGTTGCTTATATCTACGTGGTAAAGATTTACATCGTCCAGCTCCCCTCATCCAGCGTTCAGCTCCCCCTCCTTGAACATGTTACTCAGAGGTGCACGCTCTGAACAAAACTAAAACTGCTTTAATGTTGAAATGACCAAAGGCTCAGAGGCCCGCCTGTGTGACGGTAATGACGGAGTGGCGCCGAAGCAGGCGGTAACTGTCCATTGTGTGCGAGTCCCCCATCGTTCGCTTCATCCGACGGTTCAGCATGCCCAGCATGGCCGGGACTGAGCGCACGCAGCACCTCATCAGGGCTCCAAGCGGCCAGGCTGCGCCCCTGCAGCCTCAGACGTGCGGGGAATAGAAACGGGAGCTGACATCACCTCAGCATTGATTTATTTTTGTTTGTTGTTGTTTTTTTTTCTGAACAAATACAAACAGGCTGCAGTAAAATTCATTTACTAACACGAGATGTCATCTTCCAACAGGAAAAAAAACACTTTCTCAGTATAAATCTAATAATGTCACGCACCCATCACTCTCATCTGTACCTGCTTTGCCACCTGATGAGACGTCAGGGGTTGAGAGAGAAGTGCTGGTTTGGCTGGGGGGGTGACGGGGGTACAAATGTGCCCTGAGAGAGCCAAGTCATGTGACCTGATGAAAGAGGATGTACTGCGGGGCCAGTGCTGGCCAGGATCAATCTGTCATGCTGTTTGTTTTATGTTTTAATTATTATTCTATGTTTCCTTTTTTCACACCCCTCCTTTCATTCATAAAACATTTTGGCATGATGAAATTCACACCACACTGCCCTGCCCACCTCAAGGGCCTCCCCCGATGCTGCTCTGCTGTCCACCACATATTCTTTTATCAACACCCATCTAGGAAGGAAGCAGGATTGCAAACATTTTCTCTTTTATTTTTTTTGGCACTTAAATCCAAGCGAGGGCACCCATTCCACCTCCGTTCTTTTTCTCTTACACCATACTCCATCACATTCCCTTGTGTGTGGGGTGAATTTCCATTATACCGCTCATTTATGGTATAATGACTCTAAATGGGCTTCAGTGACCGACTTGTGTCGCTCTTGTTTCCCCTCTTTGATATGCACTTGAGTGACACTGTAGCTTCTCGATTTTTATACCTGCCTGGCTTTGGATGTGGATGTTTGCTTTGCTAAGTTTTTATTCTATATTTCATAAATATCTGCCCTCTTTTTTTTTTGGTTTTTTTTTTGGTTTTGCATAAGGATCTTTAAAGTATTGATCAGGTGGATGGAAATTTATTTTATTTTTCTTTTCTTCCCCCTCTATGCAGCCCTCTTCCTCTCTAGAGACTCAGGATGTAAGAATACCTTAATATGAGTTATTATTTTTTATTTTTTTTGTTCTTTTCTGCACACAGATCACGCAGTAAGTTATTGTGAGAGTAGCTGTGGGGCGCTCCAATGGTGTGGGGGGAGGGAGGGCACCAAACTAGTAACGACAGCCTCTTTTTCTTTTCCACTTTTCCTTGGACAGGCACCGTTTACAAGGTGTCTAAATCTAGCAAAGAGTAGACTGTAGCTGTAGTTCAGTTTTTTAAAAGCGTGGTTCTATGGAAAGGTTGTAAACAGTATCTTACCTGTTGTAGGTACTGCAGCTTTTTGAGGTGACCTCGGTTTGGAGAAGTCAAGTTTAATACACGAGTCCCACAATCGTAACGAGACCAAAACCAGACGTTCGGAGTGCAACAAAGAAACGGTCATGGGAGCACGGCTGCGTGGTGGTGCTATTTCTTCAACTAGATCAGCAACGTTATAAAGTTTGTTGCTGAGGATCAGGATCAGAACCTCCAAATCTGAGGCCATAGTCCTTAGTCAGAAAATAATGGATTGCTCTCTCCAAGTTGGGGGTGAGGTGCTGTTTTAAATGGAGGGATTTACGCATCTTTGGATTTTGTTCACGAGTGAGAAAAGATCGGAGCGTGAGCTCGACAATGGATCGGTGCAATTGTTGCAGTATTGTGGACTCTGTGCCGGTCAGTTGTGGTGAAGCTCCCTGTTTACCATTTAGTCTCTGTTCCTACTCTCACCCATGGTCACGAATTCTGGGTAGAGACAGAAAGAACGAGATCCTGGAAACGGGTTTCCTCTGCAGGGTAGCTGGACTCCCCCCTTAGAGATCGAGTGAGAAGTTGTTCTGCAGAGACTGAGTAGAGTCGCTGCTCCTCCACATCCAGAGGAGCCAGTTGAGGTGGTTCAGGCATGGTATGGATGCCCCATGGGTTCCTCCCTAGTGACGTGTTCCATGCATGTCCAACTGGGAGGAGATCCCGAGGAAGACCCAGGACACACTGGAAAGACTATGTCTCTCAGCTGGCCTGGGAACACCTTAGTGTTGTCAAAGAAGAGCTGGAAGAGATGTCTGGACCTTCTTGCTCAAGCTGCAACACCCAGAACCTGACTCTAGAACAAGTGACAGATAATGAATAGATGGATGGATAATATATTTGAAGGAGTAATACTTACCACCACATTGCTCTGCTCCCGTGACTCTTGAATATCTTTGTGATTCGTAGTCGTCTGACCAGATTTATGAGCCAACAGCTAGTTTGATCCAACTGTCCAAGTTTTACACCTACTGACACCTTTAGTCCTGGAAGGGTCCAGACCAAAGTGAACTGACTGGTCTCAAAAGTTTTTAAACAGTTCATGCAAACACTAATTCATCATGTTTGCCAAAGTGATCGTACTGGGCTGACTTGTTAACAAAATTTATGTGGGAGTCTCCTAAATGACTCCAGAACGTCTTGTGACTTTCACAGGATTCTCAACATCCTTTGCATACGTTGCAGAAGCGTGCAGCCCTGACGCTTGAGCTTTGAACTTGTTCAAAGACTTTGTGGAACTGCTTTTTTCTGGAGATCATCACAAAGTCATCGTGAGCCTTTTGAACCTTCCTGAATTGGGTCATGGGCGTCTCCAACCTGTCTCAAGAGCTTTAGAGCTGCATTTTAACACGTTTATGTTAGCGCTCCTCTGACAGAAATACATTAGAAGCAAATAACCAGCTCTAACCACACTTAAGATAAATATTTCTTTAAAAAACTGGTCTGAATCTTGTCTATCCTCAAAATAATATGCACAGGAATGCAGTTTACCAAGCTGTGCACACAAAATAAGCCATAATTTTCAAACAATGGTCACTCAAGATACAGCTGCGTGGCTTGTTGGTCACTCGATGGTAAACAATCGAAAATATACTGAGTCTGAAATGGAAAAATGGCTCATTGTCTCATGTTTCTCACCATTTTGAGTCTCCATTTACTCTACCACAGTGATATACAGGCTGCATTGAATGCTATGACTATTTGCAACAGTGCTAACATCAGCTAGTTGTAGCGCTTTAATCTGGAAATTATGGTAATGTAGGCCTGTCGCGATAAACAAGAAATCAATTAATCGCAGGATAAATGAAAATTATCCACCTCATTTTTATTTATAGACTTTATCGTTTCTTTGTCTCTTTTTCTACTGAAGACACAGGATGACAAAAAGGCTCAACGCCGGTGTTCTTCACTGACCCCTCTCTTTCTCTTTAAAATCTGTTTTAACGTACAAAATTGCGTTTTTTTTGGATCGTTAAAAGCAGCTAAGCTAGAAGCTAAGCTAACAGGCCTATCTCGGGGAAACAACCTCCATTTTGTCGAAGCTCCAAAATTCACGGTTGAAACTCGTGCCTTCTTCTAAAAAGTTGTTTTTCTCTACAAAAAGAAGCCGAGAACTTGTTTACTGATTTTTAAATTTTTATTAAAAGCTTTTTGTGACAAATGCTATGCTAAAGAGCTCAAACCGCACCGAGCGTCCGCCATTTTGAAAACCGAAGAGAGACAGCCCATGTCACGTCAAGGGGCCTCTCTCCCATTTTTTTTAAAGAGACACGCTGCTCGCTCCCTCACTGGCTATCCTTTCGTTCATAGTGTTATACTGCCATCCACTGGTTAAAAAAAGGTACTACACACAAAAATTAACCAACGTTTCTTCTTAAACTTGACAATAATTACTAATCATTGTCAAATTTCAAACAACATTATTGTTTATCTCAATAATTTCTGAGACAATTAATCGCCCAGAAAAATTTGTTATCTTGACAGGCCTACAGTAATGATGCTTCTGGAATGGCGGTGCAATAAGAAGTGATGGAAGTGTAAAGATTTATAAAATCGACATTAGACATATTTTAAGACGGCAGCAATACACTTTGTATTTGCTAACCAACCTATAGTTCATCGTTCCAGTTAGACAAATATACTCCATTTCTACAAACTGAGGTCTTTCAAAGAGGTTTCTGCAACAAGTAAGATATTAATAGTCCAAAACCTTTCCCCAGAACACCATTCTCAAGAATGTCTGCCCTATGGCTTGGAGCGATATTTAGCATAAAACGTTTTTTTCAGGCAACAGTAACGTATCACACCCACGGACATGTTTAGCCGTCATCACTCATTCCAGTGCATTTCCAGGGGCTGAGTGAATGTGTCAGCACATTTCTAGAGGACTACTGTGCCATCTTGTGCAGTCAGAGTGTGACGATGCTACATAAAAACTAGCCGAACACCCTCATACCAGACCGAACAGACTATTTCCACACTCGGCAAGCTTTATTCCTTTCTTTCTCACTCTTTGCTTTTTTCAAATGATGTAGTTTTTGTTTTTTTAGAAGCTCCCTCCAAACATTTAGACAATAAAGAATAAGGTAATGCTATTTGACGGGGGGGGAATGGGTGCTGGTGGTTTTGGTGGTGGGTAGAGAAACTGGGCGAGACTGACGGCCCAGTCGTCGCCCCGGCCATAGAGCACAAATAATGTTTCTACATATATTCATTTTAGGATAGGAAAAGTGGTAGAGCAGAGCCCGACCCCAAACAGAAAGCCTCTTTTAGGTCCATCAGTGCCACCCTGGCCTCCAGCATCAAGAGACGTAGGTCCTCCAAAGACACGGTAAGGAGACGAAGAAGCAACAACTTCCCTTGTATATTCCTCCTCCTCTTTTTTCTCCTCTTCCTCTGTCTCTAGTTTTCTCCTTTTTTCCCTGTCCTCTCTGCATACATCCCCATATCTGACCACGAAAGAGTCCCATGTCCAGCTCACTCATTTCTACGCGGCTCTGGCGCGACCTCTGCCAAGTGTCTGTCCCTTCACCATCGCTCAACCATCACCATGTAGGGTTTGTAGCTCCTTTAGGTCCTAGAGGTGCAGGACCGGTCAGGCCAGCCTAGTTCAGGTGCTGGGTCCTGAATTTGGGGAAATGTCCCAGTTTTTTTTTTTTTTTTTTTTTGGAAAGTGGGGGGGAGGTATTGGAAGAGTTTGGGGTGACAAAAGCAAGCACTCTGCCAGTGATGTTTTGTCTTGGGCTGCACTTCCTTCCCGCCTCTGGTTTGGACGTAAATTCCGGTAGTCGTGCTTTTTATCCCTCTTTTGGCGGTGGTGGCGTTGTGGTGTGTGTGTGCCGTACGTGAGTGCGTATTCTTGATCACGTGCTGTTGTTTTTACTGCTTGACCCCCATCGTATTTTTTGCACCAGTCCTGCACTTCCTCAGTTTGTTTTTGCTTCAACAAGCATGCAGTGGTGTCGTGTACCTTTTCGTTTCCAAATCCATTCTCAAGGTAGTCGTGACGGCCAAGTCCTCGTCAGAAGAACTGCCGGCTTGTTGTCTGACTTACCAACATGTCTATTTCAGGATTCCACTCATGGATTTCTATTAATAAGTTTTACTTTTTTGCTTTGTCATGTTTCCTTTGTCATAATTCTCGTTTAATTTCCAGCGTCCTTGTGGTCTGAACTGTGCATGCCTCTTTCAGGGTGTATTTTCAGGTGATGACGACAGTCCTCCGTTACGTTTGAATTATTGATTTTATTGGGCAAGAAACTGTGTGAAGTCTTAGACTCCCGCTCTAACAGGGCGAGCAGAAAAACAACCGTTTGGGACGATTTCAACTATTTTGCTTCACACTTTTGTTGCAGCACAACGAAAGTGCATTTCTTTTTTCCAGTTGGGTTAAAAACATCAGCTTTTTGAGATACTGAACAAGCATGACAAAGCAGTGACCTGCAGTGATTCAGACCAAATCTCTTTTAAAACATGATTTTCTGTTGTTTTGCTCAGAAAGTGTCGTGTTTTGGATGTCTCAAGGGCTATGGCAGCTACTTTTAGCTAGAATGTTGCCAAGAAAATTAGTTTTATTTGATTTCCTGTCATTTTTTCCTTGTGTTGTTCTTTTTATGGCTTCTTGTGCGCTGACGCTAACAAACTTAACTCTTTAGATTTGATCTTTTTTGTTGTCAGCAGACAGTCATTGTAGCCGTTTTTGTTGGATGTTGTTTTCGGAGCCTCGGTGGAGGAAAAACAATTCTTTAGAGTAATAGTTCAGGTGTTTTGGAGTGTGGTTCTGTGTAAGGGTTACCTGTTGAAGATGACACTTTGAACACTCAGTTTGGGGAAACGAGTTTAATTCTGACCAGACTGACAAGCTAATTGCTAATCGGAGCTAAAACACAAACAAAATGGACTCCGGTTGTCTTAAAACAACCCTAATATCAACATTTTAAAACCAGTTCTTGAATAGTAATTTATACAACTTTACACTGCTGTCAGTGTTGTATCAAATGTTTATTTTAGCGTAAACATTGTGACAGTCCAGCAGGAAACACTCCAGACAGCACTACGCTATTTAAGGCTGACGAGCTAACGGCTAATCTAAGCAAAAAAAAGTCTGGTAATCAAAGTTCATGCTCGATCATCCAGGTACAAAATCCAATAATGGTCAGTCGGGTCATCTGGACAGTTTCTTTTTTTGTGGAAAGACGTTTTGCCCTCTATCCGGAGGACTTCATCACTCTGAGACGTCCCAAGTAAACTGTTTATGACCACCAAACCAGTTTGCTGTTATCACTGATTGGTCCACTAAAGGAGTGCGTTTCCCCTACCATTATAAAAGCGGGGCGCCCCGCCCCGTCAACAGAATCGAGCGCCCCGTCTACTGAACCCCAACCCCCACCACCTGTCGGCACTGACGTAGCGCTAAACTAGCAGCTCGCAATGCAGGTGCACTAGCTAAAAAGCTAAAGGCAGCCGCTTCATGTTGAACCCTCACGCTGAACGCACCCCCGCCACTCAAAAACTGTCAGAACAAACAGCGCACGGCTCAGATGTGCGTCTCTCTCCCCCCGCCGACCCCCCCCATCCAAAATAAAAACAACTGTCTGTTCAGACAGCGCGCGGCTGAGATGTGTCTGTCTCCTCTCACACACCCTGCTCTAAAACTGTCAGTGCAAACAGCGCACGACTGTCCCTGTGTCCCCCCCCCCCCCCCTAAAACTGTTGGTTTAAACAGCGCACTGCACAGTGTAGGACGAGTCTCTGTCCCCCAAAAAATCACGGACGAGATGAGCGCCCCGCTATGGCAAGTTATCTAGGGGGGAAACACTACTGCTTAGTGGGGAAAATGGTTTATTTGGGACTCCTCGCACTGATGAAGCCCTCTGGATAGAGGGCGAAACGTCTTTCCAAAAAAACTTTTCAGATGACCAGAAAGACCATTGTTGGATTTTGTACCTGGATGATTGAGCATGAACTTTGATGTCTTGAACCACTTTGGCTGCCTGCCTGGGAGGAGTCGACGGGGGGACAGGACAGCCCCCAGAAACCATCTTATCACCAGCAAACTGGTTGGTCCACTAAAGGAGTGTGCTGCTTAGTGGGCAAAACTGTTTACTTGGAACTCCTCGGACTGATGAAGCCCTCTGGATAGAGGGCGAAACGTCTTTCCACAAAAAGAAACTGTCCAGAAGACCTGACTGACCATTATTGGAAACTCTGGTAATTTTAAAACTACTCTAAACTTGGAAGTTTTTGGTTGCAGTTTATGAGAG